GTTCACCTGTGACAGAAAACAGAATTCTACGTTGGGAAAACTCACCTGGACCGTAGCTGTGTCACCAGTGTGGGACTGTGTGCTATTATACAAACTTGGGTCACACTCTATATTTGAAATAGATATATAAAAAACTTTCAAAAAGTTTAAATTCTGTAATTACCTTAGGATGTGTTTATTGCAAATGTTTCCATGTATCCTTCTCTTTTCGAATTAAGTAAGTTTGTCTGTTCAAGATATGAAGAGATATTGTCTGAACTAGATCCCTGCGGGGAACGGGCTGGGTGGAGGACACTTAGATGTCTCCTAGTCTATCAGTTTAGACTGTTTATAGCTTACAAGAAAACAATGTCTATGTTCTGTTTTTATAACAAAATCCTTGTGTTCATTTGTTTATTTTCAATTTCTGTACCTGCCTACTTCTGAAGGAACTTCAAGATAAAACATCAAAGCATTAAAACCACAGGACCCAGACAACCTGGGAGGCAGAGATGTACAGCAGTGATTATAGGTAAATAAGCACAGTCTTTGGCTTGAAGTTCCCTGATACAGCTCCAAAATAGCACATAAAAACAGTTCTCAACTAGGCACTAGGGCTATAGCATGTGACTGGGGATTTTTTTTTTGTTTTTGTTTTTAAAAAAGAGAACCTATAGGTTAATCCATTTCTGTAAGAATCCTTGCCCAGAACTAAATTCAAACAGGAGTTTATAACACAGGTCATTGTGTAAAGGACAACAGCATGGCTGAGAACATTTTAAAATGTTGTCTTACAAGAGAGAAAAATTCTGTTCCATGATAATGGTCCACAGAAATCTTTAAATGGTTATTGAACGAAAGCATCTCTGAGGTTCTACAGACCTGATGATAAAATCAATAGCAAAAAGATATCATTCCGTATAAAACAATTCCAACTCCCTATTATTTTATATGGTGCATTTATATATATATTCAAACCTAGAAGACACTAGGGGAATCGATATACATTGCGTTTTCCATTTGGGAAGATCCAAGTTTACATTTTTCCTGCCGAAGCATGGAGAAGAGAAAGGGGGTGGAAATAAAACGTAAAAGAGGAAAAAATCTTAACAATCACTATTTAGAAAACAGGAAGACGGTTAAAAGAATAAAACACCTTCAGTCACTGGATAAGTATGTATCTCGCTCTTTTCTGATATTTATTTATAAGTTACAACCACAAGTTTACATGCGAATTTGTATTTCTTTTCACAGAATGTTTTATCAGGTATACTGTCTACATTTACATATCACAGATGTACTCCTGCCATTTGCATAATTGCTGTCTTAAAACTAGAGTTACTGGATATTTTGGTGACTCTTGATACACCCTGAAAAATATTGACAGACTGATATTTTATAAGGATAATTGTCAAGGTTAAGTGCATTGATTTCATATTTTTAAATGTTCATTTCAGAACATGCCATCTCCCAATTTAGTTTAAATTTAAGTTCCTTGGTTCTTAAAGAGTAGAACAAAAAATCTAATGTTTGAGAAACTCTTGCATATGTTCAACTGGAAATGTTTCTTTTCTTAGCCCTAGAAGATATTAGAAACAGAAAGCATTGCTCATTTTATCTGTTAGGTGTTAGTATTGTTATCAGTTTGCCAGCTCATATTTAGTAAAGATATTAACTCTTGCTACACACACTACATGTGCTTGGTTACATACTACACATGTTTTATACAGCTTGTTTGCTTTTAATCATGTCCAAGTTTGAGTCTCAAGCCAGCTTCCCCCATCACAAAATATCCCCCACTTCCCAGCTGGCAAATGCTCAGAGAACACAAGATGATTTTTATGTTAGCCTAAGCAAGACATAATTAAGAAGACAAATCTGCTGCCACCTCATACACATGCACACAAAAAACTCGCTTGCCACTTATGAATCAATGTCAGCTCTGAACAAGTTTTGCATTTCTTAGAGACACAGAGGAGAGGAAGTGGTTCTGAACAACTCAGAGTGGAATGATTCCACTCTCTCTTCTGCAAAATGGGCCGAATTGTATCCCAGTCTCAGGAGAACATCATGCAAAGACAAATTGCAAGTGGTAAATGATGCCACAGACAAGGGGATGGTCACATTAGCGGTGGCATCAGGACATTAAACGTAACAATCAGTGTCGTTGTTAGGATGACTTCGTCACTGCTATTTTTTCTCTGTTGGGATGAGTAATTGTGGAATTTGAGCCCAGAGGATCTGAAAGCTGAAGGGGTCACAACATTCATCTGACCTAAGCCCACCAGGCTGATTTCATTTCTAATTACAAGCAGGACAATTGAAAACAGAAGGCAGAGATGTACAGAAGTGGTTATAGTCACCACCTACACATGAAGATAAATTTGATTTTCCCTACAGAATATTGTTTCTCAGATAGAAACTAGATGTAGGAGTAGGATAAAATATAAAAGGAAAATAGACATTATCCATACTATCATCACTTAGAAATAATACCTATTAATTTTATTTTTTCTTTCCTTCTTTGGAAATATGTAGTAAAGTTTATGGTCTATAAATGTGAGGTAGCAATTCTAAAAACTCAGACTTTGCACCGAGGGAAATGATGAAACCGTAATTCTTTGGTGAAGGATTTTTTTTTTTTTTTGTCTTTTTCATTTTTATCAGTACCAGGGATCAAACTCACGACCACACACTTGCAAGGCAGGCGCTTATGCCGCTGAGCTAAATCCCCAGCCCCAGGAATTTTTGTATTTATGAGGACTTCCTATGGTTTAAAAGACATGACTTGCTTGGAAAACATTACTGAAAAGTTAGATTTCTCTAAGTACTCTTAAAATGAGATAAATCCCTAGAGAGTAAAGACAAGAAGGAATCCTCAAAGGCGTAGAGAAAAAGCAGCTATAACACCCAAAGTAAGTTTCTCTTTATAAACCACTGAGGTCTCTCTTGTGCCTGACCAAACTGCCAAGAGAAAAGACCACGTCTGCAGCTGTGGTCAAGGGTCACCTGTCCAAGAAGGGAACCAGGATGGGCAGCTCTTCCCTGGCACACTGTGGGCTCTTCATACGAATATAGTCACTTACATACTTGTGGCAACTTATGGTCTCTCTATTTCTTCCTCACAGACATTTACTGTCAGCTCTTGGGCTTTGGAGTATCACAGAAACACAACACGCACTTCTGCTTCTGCAACGACCTTCTCTCTCCACAAGACCAGGCAGCAAATTGGTGGCCATCCTTGCAGTGAATGCCATCTTTGTAGTGACCGTCCTCCCTTTGTCCTCATCTACGGCCAGTCTAGTCACAGTTTGAGTCACCTTGGGTAGCTTATTTTCAAAATAAGTTTTGAAAATGATAATAGGACATGGTAGAGAAAAAAACTAATACAATTTGAGACATTTATTTATTATTCAGATGATTTATGATGCTTGTATTAGTTTTTCTTATCTACATCAGACAAGGATTTTACTTTCTTATCAAGAGCAATTATATAAATCTATTTTGGACTTCAATTAAAACAGCAACAAACTTTAATTATCATTTAATTTTTAAAGCTTTGCAAAAGTTCAAAACTTCAAAAATGTAATCTAAATTTTTCCTAAAATAATACCTACACATATTTTGAAGTTAAATAATAATGTCTTTTGTGCAGCCAGTTAAGCCAAGCTCATACTTAAACCCTGTTTCTATGGAATAATAGCCTATGATAAGGGCCCTGCTAGAGAAGAACCTTTATAGAATAAAAATGTAAAAAGAGGCACTTTTATTTCATCAAAATCAAATGAAAGGAAGAAAAGCAATCGAGTGGCAGAAGTTTTTTTGTCGTAAGGGAAACCGTGACAGTGTTTCATGTAATTATTGTGGACCTGGAGATTTCTCTTAATGGCATAATAATTACATATCTGTAGGAAAAAATCATTCTCTTCTTGTTGGACAAAGTCGCTTGTCATTTCAGGAGCGTTTTGTTGAAGTCAGGCAGGGAAGTTTTCTGTGTCAGGAAATAATCATAGTATGCTCCAGGAGTCTGTTGTTCTTAATGACACACTGGATATCACATAGTAATAAATGCTTTCTTAATAAATGAAAAAAGTGTGTGGAAACCAGCTATTAATTTGATACGGTATAGCTTAGCTAATGTAACTTGTTATTCCATTAATATTGTAGCATTGTCTGGCAAGAGAAAGTGGAAGAGTTATGATACGCTGCTTCATAAATTACTTTTGAAGAGAGTGAAACATTGAGAGCGGGAATTTGTCTAGCCTTCTGCTGTTCGTGAAAAGCTTCTGGAATGCTTAGATGCGGATATTCGTCAATTAATGACCAACCTGTTTGGACTTATGATGCGAATTCATACCAATGACCCGCATTTGAACTTAAAATACAGGAATGTGGGTGTTAGTGCAGCCTTACGATGGCTGCTTATATAGTACAGCACCAGAAGTTTTGCTGGTTATACTGTACAGTACTGTAGTTTTATGTTTTGTCACACTTTAGAGTACTGCCTGGAAGACTTATTCAAATAAAACAAAGTTGTCAAGTTGGAATTTGCTTTGACCATTTCTCTGTTCTGAATATTATAATGTACATACTATATACAAGCCTTCATTTAGTGACCAACTTACGCAGGAGTAGAACTCAGTTTGTTAAATTAAGGGTGTCTGTGTGTGTATATGTGTGTGTATATGTACATATATATGCATGCATGTATGAATTCATATATATACATATATATGCAGTAGGGAAGTTTAGTTTTAGAATTTGTAGAGAATGAAGAAGTATAACAATAAATGATTCAGTATTTTAAAAAATGACCAAAGTATGTTTCCCAATGAAGGTTAAGGGTTTTTTGATTCACTTCCCCATGATTACATACTGTTTTAACTCTTCTCAAACACCTAAATTTAGAAAAATTTCATATAGGCTTGATTTGTCTCTGTTACACAGACTTTGTTGCTATGACAGCAACATGATACAATTATTTATTGCCATGACAATCTGCTGTAGGTTTTAAAAATATGTTATCTATTTTTATTAGTGTTGTCAATTGTGTAGGGATAGGGAACCACCACTCCACCTAAATCGATGGAGCCCCTGATGCAGGGAGCAAGTGAAGATCCTCTCGCCGGGAAGGCAGAGCCCAGAACAGGCGGATTCCTGGCACACTCACTGACACGCACACCCTGCACTGACAGCAGCATCCTGGCCAGCTGTCTGGCTGCAGCCAGCCCTTTGGCTAAGGGTGTGAGCTCCGTTATGTCTCCCATGTGGCTTCGCCTCTGCCACGTTGGATAGATATCAATGTCAGACAGGACTAGAAGCTCAGAAAGAAATCTGAATATTCGTGGCTTCACAGGGGAGACCTGAGTGTGTCTCTGTGCCTGGGCTGAAGGGCACCACCCCGCTCTAGGATGACACCAGGCGGAAGCTGTTCGTAGGTGAGTGGGTTAGGGTCTCTGCCACCCTCAGTGTGCTCAAACATGCTGCGTGCTCCTCACTGTCTTCTTGTTCTTTGTCATCTGCCAAGCCTGTAGAAAAACAATGAAAATAAGAATACCTTCAGTGATGAGTGTCTTACCTAAGAAAGGAGCATGCTATTATTTGTATTTAAACCTACATTTGAGTTGGCAGCAACCAACCAGCTACTAAAGTCAGCGTGGAAGTTCTGGTTGATGTTTTTAAAATATGAGAGATTTGGTTGTGTTTTGTCTTTTTCTTTTTTGTAAACTGGTAAGAAAAAGTGAACCACTTTCCTGCCGTTGGAATGTAGATGACACTTTAGTGTGTGTTGTGTGTTCTACAAAGTGCTTTAGCCCTCTGAGCTTCTTTATTACTCACTGAAAATCCAAGAGTGAGGTGTTGCTGTTGTGCTCATTTCACAGTAAGGACAATGAGGCTGCCTGGAAAGGAGGCTTGACAGAGCCATCTAGTACCTGGGAGCTGGTGAGGTCTGCCTGACAACATGTATTGTATGGCAGCTTATGCAGTCAAGAACAGTTTTAGCCCTCCTTGAGATTCAGTGTTATGGTTTGTGTCTAGAGTCCCCTCAAAGCCTCATGCAGTCATGGGGGAGGGCATCTCGAGTTTGTGGTTGATACCAATGCTGGGGTATTAAGAGTGTGAGTGCTACACCTACCCTATGTGGGTACCTTGCATGCAACGTAAGGGATCAAAAGAGGCTCATCTCTCTCTCCCTCTCTGCTTATTGCTTTTGCTGTCTTCCACTGCCACGAACTGTTGCCCCTCTGGCATGTGCCACCCTGCCTTGGAATCAGCCAGTGTTGCACTGAAACCTCTACAAACTGTGAGCTAAACAAACCTTTGCCCTTTTAACTCTGGGTGTTGGGTATTTTATTTCAGCAGTGAAAGAAAAGTAACTAAGAAATCTGGCCACAGAGAAATGTTTTCTGGAGAAATAGTGCAACACGCTAGATTGTAGCCTTGCAAGATGGTAAGTCCTCAGAAAGAGTTGGTCCTGAAGGAGGCAATTGTTGGTCCCACTTCTTGGGCACCCCTACCAAAATGCTCTGGAGTGGGTTCATAGGAGCATAGCAGTTTAGCTACAGATCATTGTCACCATTGTGGGTATGTTTGTTCAGTGTTTTACCCAAATACAGCATTTATGTAGTGCAACATAATCTGACCATCACCATCCAACATATTCTGTTCTTCTGAGAATGTGTCATTTGTAAAAATTAGGCTTAGTTATACAAATGAATAAGCAAAATACAGCTTTGCCCTAGTAGATATGGAGAGGTGATTCTCCTTCACTCTCCCCAAGAGAAATCTTGTTATTAAGTGGGCAAGTTAAAGTAACGGGCATTTAAGTGTGTTGTTCTTTTTATGTTTGTGTCAAAGGTTCACAAGGACATCTGAGATTTAAATTATTGAAGTCCACTAGAAAGCATTTTAAAACTATTTATCAAACATGAAGACAAATGCCAGAAATTCTATTTTCAGGGTGCATACTCAGTATACAAAGAAAATGGGCTCAAAGCTATTTACAAATGTCACTAAATACGAGTTAAGTAAGTCATTAAATCGTTATCAGGAATATGTTTTAAAAGTCATGATTAGAATATACTTCATGACATAAATACTATTCATGATGTACTAGATGAGAAAAACGAGTTACAAAGCATACTGATGACACCCTAAAAAACAAATTATCATATACATGTGGAAAAGAGACCAGACAAACCTCTACATAAATGTTCTCAGAAGGCTACTATTTTTTATTTTATGATTTTTAAAAACTTTTGCATGATCCTGTTTTTCCTTCTTTTTTTTTTTTTTTTTTTTTTTCTTTTAGCTTTACAGTTGTGAACCCTCTGACACTTCCCTGGTCCATCCGTGATAGATGCATGACACAGGTCACTTGTGACACAGGTCGCTGGGAACTAGGGAGACCATTGGTACAGGTACTGCTGGCACATTTCAGGTACAAACACAATTGTAAATATTTGTATTTCTGTGATGATTTTCAGAAAAGGAGCTGGAAAACAGGTATAATTACGTGTCTATCCATCCTGGGTGGGTTGTATGAGTAATCAGAGTTGAACTGAAGCATCCTGGGTCAAATGGAGTTACTATATTTATGTTTATTTTCTAAATTTATAATTTCTAAATTTCTTAATTGATTAGATTAAAAGGATTCTTAATTGATTAGATTAAAAGGATAATGAAGGATTTCCCTATTATCTTCCATTCATATGTACATTGTACCACTTTCACTATTTGCAGAGAAAAAAACAACATCTACATTTAATTATTAATTTTCAGTGAATTATGGTTTTTTTCATTGAGAAAATGATTCTAACCTCCAGGTTGCAAGATAATAACATAAAAAGGGGAACTACTATTAGAACGACTCCAGCTTTGCTTTTACATAAGTTACTAAAGAATTACCCAGTAGTTAAAAACAAAAGGATTGTTTTTTCCTGGAAAATTATTCCTGAGAATATTCTGTTATAAATTTTCAAAATCTAAGCTCTACTACATATAAATTACCATATTCTTGTTTTAGAGAGGAAAACATTTCATTTAAACAAAAATATGATTTTCTTAAAATGTAATAGAAGTAATAAATATATAGAGAATTATGTTTTTTTCCAATATTACACCTTAAACTGGAGTAAGTTGTGTATTTAATAATATTCAAATATTCATGCTTGGTAAAACACAAGGATGATGGTGACAGTGATGATGATAATATTTGCAACAAATGTTATGGTTTTGAAAGTGATTTGAAACCTAGCTATCCCACCGTCTTCCAAACTGCTCATTTTAATGAATGGTTCCACAGGGAAGTCAACACTTTACAGAACAGATTTGCCACATCTGCTGTCAGGTCTCTGAAACAATTCCTGTGCGTGAAGAGGATAGTATTTCAGGAGCATTAGTTCATAGAAGTATAAAAGGAGAAAATATATTGTTTTGAGGAGATGAAAAAAACCTTATTTTTTCTTAAGTAACAAGTTGGCAAACTTTCTGACTGTGTAATGGTTTTATGAAATAAAGGTTTATGATGAACTGTATTTTAAAAAGTAAATACATAGAAACAGTTAATACCTGGAAAACGTGACAGAACAGGGCAGCTACCTGTTGAGACACAGAAACTGACACAGAAACAACTACAGATTTGAACTGAGAGAGCAAAGTTTACTTCTGGTGAGAAGGGGGAAGGCACATTCGTGTATTCATCCATTTTTTAGCACTTACTGAGTCCTTACTGTGCTGGACACTGAGAATGCAACTGAGAACAATGCCAACATTGGTCCCTGTGCACATGGGTATAATCTGAGTTCTGGGGAGGTAGATGTCAAACAGGTTTCACCATGGTAGCCAGGCAAGGCTGTAATCCCAGCTGCTCAGGAGCTAAGCAGAGATCACTTGAGCTCAGGAGTTATGGGCTAGCCTGAGTGACAAAGGAAACTACCCTCACAAAAATTTTCAGCTGGACATAGTGGCAAATGTCTGACATCCCAGCACTCTGGGAGGCCGAGACAAGAGGACTGCAAGTTGGAGCCCAACCTGAACAATTTAGCCACTTGGTGAGACTCTGTCTCAAAATAAAATATTAAACAGAGAGCTGAGATGTAACTCATGGCTGGGTTCAATCGCAGGTACTGAACAGAAATAGACAATTACTATGACCAATGTTTAAACTAAACCACGGTGAGAGCGACTGAGCTGCCACATAAAAGCTGGAATGCCGGGGCTAGAGGTTTAGCTCAGTGGCATAAGTGCCTGCCTTGCAAGCAGGCAGCCGTGAGTTCGATCCCCGGTACCAATAAAAACGAAAAAGAAAAAAAAAAAAAAAAAAAAGCTGAAATCCCTTTATGGCATTATAGGACAATGCCAATAATCTTGAGATTCAGGTAGACATTCCTGCAGAGATCCAGCTTTTGTAAGACCTGAGGTTATACAAGGAGGATCCTCTTTTAAAGTAAAAAATTTACAAATATCAAATTAGGCTTAAAAGAGAGTATGTATTTAGAATGACAAAAGAAATAACAACAAATTATAAAATTTGTAAAGCTGAAAACACTACAACATAAAATCTCCTCTCTCCCAAACCTGTAACATTTTCATTAACTTCTTGATAGATTTCTATGACCTCTTTTGTCTGCACTCTCTTTAATCACATCTTTAATACAGAAACAATTTTGAAATGGATTTTCTAAACTGGAAAGAGAGAGCCGTGTCATTATTCCAGCATTGGTGGATGACATTTGTTTTTTATTAATGACAGTTGTGAAATGACTTTTGCAGCTTTGCAGCTCACTGCTGGCAATGTATTGTACATAATTAGAACTGTGGTCAGATTTGGGGCCTCTCCATCAAGTTTTGTTTTATAGTTTATTAGTGAGATATGGTAGGCTTTTCTGGACTGGTTTCTAGTTCTGTGCATTCTGGCTTCTTCTCCACTGCCCAGGAACCTCTCATACTAGATATTGTAGGCCAAGTTTATAACATATTTGGCCTCTGTGTATTAAGAAAGTAGCAGAGTTGAGGGTGGAGTATCCTTGGGGGCCATCCTCTACCAGACACCTAGCAGTAGCTTCAGTATGCATGAAAAGTACTAAAAACCAAGTATGGTCACTTTTCCCTATTCACAGGTTGTTCTACACAGAACAACCTTGGAATGGAAATATTTGAAAAGCATTTGTATCTGTACAGAACATGTATAGACTTTTCCTTATCACCATTCCCTAGCCAGTACAATGTAACAATCATTTACATAGCATTTATATTGCATTAGGTACTAGAAGAAATCTAGAGAGGACTTAAAATACATTGGAGCACATGCATAGGTCATGTGCAAATTCTGGTATGCCATGGGGATCTGGGAACCAATCGCATTCATATGCAAACACATCCCATTGAAGCCGAACTTAATGCAATCCCCTAATCAGCATCATGGTCACTATTCCAGGGCCAGCACGGGAAATGACAGGCAGGGAAAGTTGGAGTGGAAAAAGAATCTTAACCAATGGTGGTTTAATGTTTATAAATTTCACAAAAATATGTGGTCAGAGGAACACATATTAAAGTTGTCCTTCTCAGAATTGCAAGGGGCTCCTGCAAGTGACAGTTCCTTAAGAACGCTTCTGTAGTTTTGGGGTGTGTCTACCCTGAGGAAAGTGGCACTGAGACATCATGCTACAGTTTGGCCCTGGGATGACTCTCGTTGCCTAGAGGTGGGAACAGACAGGCAGAATCTTCTGTGTGGTGGATGCTGTGTCCGTGAGCCCCCTTGGCCACAGCCTTCAAAGAGACCCCTCTGGGTGGCTTTTGGTTTTCTTTCAATACTGGGGATTTAACTCGGTGGCTTTGCCTGATCTATGTCCCAGCCTTTTTGTAAGTTTTTAATTTGGAGACAGGTCTTACTAAGTTGCCCAGGGCGTGTTTGAATGTAAAATCCTCTTTCCTCCGCCTCCCCCAGTGCTGAGATTATAAGCATGGGCCACCATGCTTCACCCGTAGGGTTTTTTCAACTACATCCTGATCCACTTGGGTCTACGTAGAAGAATTTGCTTGGAGAAAGTGCTCTTACATTCCTCCCCACCATTCCTTTCTCCCCTCTCTTCTTCCCTACTTTTTGGTTCTCTTACTTTTAGTTAATACTCAGTTTTGCAGATTATCTCTCATTTTTCCCCCTCAAAGGGTTTGTCTGAATCAGGATTCAGACTCTACACATTGTATTAGGTGCATAATTCTTCTGAGACTCTTTTAATCTATAAACTCCTCTTTGTCCTGTGGTCTTTAATTGCAGCATACATGTTAAACAAGCTGGGGTCTTGGCATGGTTTGTGTTTAAACGTCCCCCCAGAGCCTCATGCTGTCATGAGGGGAAGCAGACCTTTCAAAGGCAGCTGAATCTAGTGTTTGTGATTGGTTCCTTGTCTAGAGCTGGGATTGGTGGTGTGAGTCCTGCACCTTCGAGGGGCGGAGCCAGAATACAATATATGGGAGGGGAGGAAGTGTGCTTCCCTTCTTTTCGCCCTTTTGCTCTGGTCACTTTTGGTCTCTGCCCCAGCCACCATGGACTGTTGCTCCTTAGCCTTGCCACCCTGCGTTGGAGCCGACTGTGTTTGTACAGCTTACAAAACCTGTAAGCTAAATAAACTTTTCCTTCCCTAGTTTTGAGGGTGGTATATTTTGTCCCAGCAATAAGAGGAAAGTAACCAACACAAATCTGTTTACAGAGTTTCCACTATCCTGAATGTTGCTGATTGTTTCTGTGCTATCTTATCCTGTTCCTTTCCACTTTTCCTGTAAACTGGTGGTAGTTTTAAAGGATTAATAAGATTTGGATTCAAAATTTAGGGAACACTATAGAAGACGCACTGTGGATTGAATGTTATAACCACTGTATATGACTTACTTTTTGATACTAAAACTTATGAAGTACTATCATCCCAAGCCTTCATTGACAAATGCTCCTAGCGACCATTGATTCATAGCTGAGAAATGTTATTTCACTTGAGAATGCAAAATGCTGACATTATCATTTCTTCTGCACTTATCAGCTGAAACATGTCTGTAAAAGTTATCAGCACACCATTTAGTAGCTTTAGAATACATTTTATAAGAGAAAGACAGCATAAATGCATGATTCTTTGCCTTTTCTAATCAAGTTTAATGGTCATAAATTGGTGTCTAACAAAATCTAGTGGTAATCAATGATTTAAAAAATATTACGTATGCACTGATTTTTTAGCTTACTAGGCATGTGTCTATTTACTATAGCTTTATTCTTGTTCAGATTGTCCCCCACCATATCCAGGCTGGTTCTTGAGGTTTTGTAAAATTTTATTTTTCATTTTAAAGAGAATAAAACCAACCAAAATAAAACAATAAAGCCAATCAAAACAAAACAATGTAAGTGATACAGAGTTTCAAAACAAGATAATAGGCAATCAACAATGACTACCGTAATGCCTCTTTTTGTCTTCTTTTTGTCATCAGATATAGGAAAATCAAACAAAGCAGAACAGAATAGAACCAGTAAAAACAAAACAATGAATGCAATACAGGATTTCAAAACAAGATTATAGCAAATCAAAAATAGCTACTATAATATACCTTGTCATCTTTGACATAACTGCCCATGCCATCAGATATAATACAGTCAAACTAGACAAAACAGAATAAAGCCAAACCAAACAATGAAAATGATACCGAATTTTAAAACAAGACAGTAGGGGATAAACAATGGCTACCACCTCCAGAAGGAGATCCCCATAGATGCTATACTGTATCGTTATGCTCTAAATAGATGACCAGATTACAGGCTTTAGGCCTGCAAAGTCAACAAAACCCTAACCACTGTAAGCATTAAGTTATATTTTACGTCTATGATCTCCGCCTGTTTCTCTGGATGGTAGCTCACTGGGGTGGAGGGTATCTTGGCTCTTCTTGTCTCCCAGCCTGCACGCCAGGAGGGGCTGCTGTCTAGCTGTCCTCCCCACAGCTTGTGCATTGCGCTGACTCATAGGAAGGGTCTGGCTTCTTGTTCTCCTCCTCCCTGTGGCCCATGCATGGCACCGGCTCACAGGAAGGGACTGGCCTCTGGTTGTCCTCTCCATGGTCCACACATCGTGCTGAACATTCTTGCGATTTTAATCTGACTAATGGACTCTGATACCATCCTTCCTCTCCTACACAAAGTACAGACTCTTCACATGCCTTGCCAGCCCCACATGTTTAACTGGCCAATTCTTGGGATTCCTGTGTCCCTTTAGTAGGAAACAGTATTCAGAGATGGAACTACGGGTTCTGGTGGAATTGTTGATTTTCAAGTATTTGGTCTAGTTTTCCTATAGAATACTCCAAGTTCAGGTCTTGACTGGTCTTTCTTCATTCAGAACTGGCTTTTTTCTTTTCTCTTCTGCACTTTCTGTGATCTAAAAGTTAAGCGTAGAGGCTTGATTGTATTTAAATTAGGAGTTTCCTCTCCTCTGTTGGGGCAGGTCTAAGTGTTTCTGTTTTCTTCAAATAGCACCATATCACAGTCATATAATACTAGTTTTTCTACTGTCAGTGATATTAAACTTGATCATTTGTTAAGCTGGTTACCTCCAGAACTCTCACTACTAAGATATCTTTTTAAAAGGGTGATACATTTTTAAATAGTGGTATTAATATCCAGTTCCCTGACAATTTTCTATCTAATTATTTTCACCAGCCACTGGAGACCCTTACTTGAATCTGTGGTTACACTAAAGGGACAAAATGGTCATTTTTTAAATTATGTACCTGAACATTTATCATCAGATATTTTTCTATAAAGAAGAACCTCTATTTTTTCCTGCCTTTTCACTGTTTCCTATTTATTCTCTGATGAATATTTACTCAACATTATAATCAATCATGGCCATTTTCTGATACATAAATTGTCATACATTTGTACAGTAGGCACTTATTCAAGTTTCTCTTACGTTTTTCTGATGTCATTGCATTGGTCTTTGCCTGTCCTTGTTTTCTGGTACGACATTCCAGGCTAAGGTTAAATCCTGCTATAAGTCTAACAGGAGGAAGGCAGACTAGAACAGCAAGACTTACAGGCAATACACGTGGGTCTGTGGGGATTGGCTGGCCAAAATATGTGCGTTGTTACTTACTGGAATCTTCACTGCAGGTTCTTAATGAAGGAAATCTTCAGAGTCTCATGAAAGCACCTATGACACAGGCAGCTTCAAATCATCTTGACCCAGTCAGGTGAGGACTTTCTAATACCTTTATGTCTCCTCCTCCATCTCCTTTAGTCAGTAAACAGCAGAGGAATGAAGGGCCCCTGCCTCCAGTTCCTGTCTGCCCGGACTTCCGGGGTGGGACAATGCAGTTGATCATGGAAATTCAATATTTTTCAGAGTGAAAGTGGGAACTAACTATACACAAAATGATTTTTAAAAAATGTTTATTACACAGTGATTTGCTTTACTATATTGCAAAATAGTCTTATTCAAAATTTATTCTTGAAATGCATTTCTTTAAAAATAAAATTGTGCCTATGTTCATTAAAGGAAAACATAAAAATAATCCTTGCTGTTGATAATATGGAATTTAAAAAAACATAAGCACAATTACTGATCTTGGTGTATAGTCACATACTGTAAACTCAAATATTGTGTACAGTCATCCAAGTATTGTAATCGTTTTTCTAGTTTTCCTCACAATCCAAAAAGTTATATTTGTAATCCCATTGAGATGTTATTGGAATCCCAGCAAGTTAATTCCAAACTACCTCCTCCAAAGCAACACGGCAAGAGTAAAAACACCAAGACATGTTCCAAGTTAAGGGCAGCCCAGGGGACCTAAATCCAATCCCTGTGAGGACATGCAGACAAAGGCCCTGATCCTAGGCCTCTTCCAGAATTTATTATCTTGTGAAGAAGGGGGGTGGCTCGGGGATGAGTGACAGTGAGGATGGCGGGAATTATGTGAGTAACTTGAAGTGGCCTGCAGAGGTGGGAGAATAGCATCTCTGCAAAATGCAGAGATAAGGATATGCAGAAGGATCAATTTGCATAATTCAATTAAGGTAGCAACTGAATTGTTTTAGGCAGCTGTTGCTTCAGTTTCTGATATGTAAATTTTTGTGCCCTGGGGAGTCATAGCCTCTTTCCTTAGACTCATACCCAGTTGACATTCCTAGAGCTGATGACTCTACCATCCCACTGTGCCTATATCTTTTACAGAGAGCACTAAACTAGGAGACAGGAGACTGTCTGATGGCCTTAGAGATTACACACCCGGTACCTGGCCAGCCTTATTTGCAATGCTAAAGCTACAGGAATTGTTTTACATTCAAGGGGAGCCCCTCCAGGTGTCTCCCACAGTCACATACTCTTATCAGCTTCTTAGTTTTCCTTGTTCTAGTTTAGTTTTTAAAAAATCTAAATTTTTTTCATAAAATTGGCAGCAACTATCCTCAAGGATGCATTTTATTATGCACCTATTTTAAATAGTAAATTTTAAATTGATATTACCAGTTGAATTTTCTCTATAGATCATAATGATTTTAATGATAAAATACTCTTTTTACAGGTATAAAGTTACTCAGTAACTCTCAGAGAAAATTCTGTTAAATGAAGTAATCTATTATTTTTCAGTATTTGAACTATGCAAATATTTTAGCCAAAGCATATGTACAGGTATTGATGTTTTACATGGATTCATAAAATCTTTCCTTGACTAACATTTTTACAAAATTCTTTGAATAAATTACTCCTATTTATTGTTCTTTTAAATGATTTGCCTATTTGAAATACTGTAAAATTTTAGGCTTTTATTTCTGAAAGGATCTTGCCCTAGGCCGGACACTGTAGCCAGAAGGAGACAGGGGGCTCTATCTTGAGGTCAGCTTTTTCCTGCCCCTAGGAGTTTACCTGTGGCACATCGAACACCAATGGACTACCTGGACTACCTGTGCGTCACTAATGCCCCTTAGGCACCACCCCAAACCTAAGCTACATGTATGCCCCCACTCCACATGTCTGGCGGAGAGAATGCCAGACCCCAGAGGATCGAGGGGTCTCTCCCCACATTCTTAAAATAAAGGTCATTTATATTTCATACTTCTTATCTTTTCAGCCGTGCCAAAATTCTATCAATTTCTATTACTGAACAAAATACTAAACGTTTAATTTTAAAAGGAGCTCCTTGAAATACTCCTTCCATAAATCAAGATATTCTAAACCACAATTTTATAATTTAAAAATTAAAGTTTGTGTATCATTTGGTATAATATGTTCGAAGTTCCTTTGGGCTTTTAGTTAAAGCCATTTAAAGTTGCACAGTTTAGTGGCATTTATTACATCCACTGTTGCACAACCAAGTCTATCTACTTCCAAAACATTTTCATCACCTCCAAAGGAAATCTTGTACCCGTTAATGGTCATTCCCCATTCCCAGCCCCAGCCCTTAGCAGCCATTTAATTATGTTTTATTTTTACAGGCTTGTTAATTCTGGAGATAAATGAAAACATACATTATGTGATGTTGTTTCTGAATTCTTTCATTTAATGTCTGTGATTTCTTCCTTTTTATGGTTGACTGTTACTCCATGATATAGATATGCCACACTTTGCTTGTCTGATAATCCATGGGTGGAGGCTGGATTTATTTACACCTTTTCACTATGGTGAATGGCGCTCTGTAAACATACCTGTAGAAATGTTGGAAGAGTCATTTTCAATTTTTCTGGATATTACTTAGAAAGGAAATGGCTAACATAGACGGTAGGACTCTGTTTAACTTTATGAGAAACTGCTTTCCACAGGAACTTGACCATTTTACATATCATCAGCAACGAACAAGGGTTACACTTTCTCTGTATCCTAGCCCATGTTGTTATTTATTGACTGACTGATCTTGATGTGAAGTGGTACTACATGGTGCTTTCCTTGTAGGGGGAACAAGTATAATGTCTTTCCATATCACACTTTTTAAATAATTACAATTCACTAGAAAGTTTCAAGTTTATTTATTTTTATTATTCCATTGCTTGAATATTTGATTGAACACTTTCATTTGATTAAACTGAATCATTTGTTGAAAACAAATGTAACTAAATTGTATCCAACATTTAGATGACTCATTTTCTAATTTCTTCACAGGATATTTTGTTGATTTTTAAAATAGTTCATCAAAGTTTCTAACATGTTTAAATTGTGTTCATGAGTAACTACAAAAAAAAAAAAAATGAAAAGAGACAGAAAAAAATAGAAAGAAAGAAGAAAGGAAATTTAGCTACTCTGGAGCCTGAAGCAAAAGGATTGAAATTTGAGGCCATTTAGTTGAAAGTTTCCGGTCGTTTTGCAGTAAGCAGATAGAAACCAATAAGCAGATAGAAAGATAATAAATAGATAATAAACGTACTATTTTGGAAGCAAAATGTTTCAGTTTGCTTAGGTATAATTATAAATCACCTGAGCATCACTAATTCTAAACACATTTCTGCCCCTCAAAATGTGAGTCCTCAATGTAGAAATAGCAGTGTTTTAATTATAATACTCTATTCAATTAAAATTTGTAATTCTGTTATCACTGTATAAACAATTGTATCTTCAGTATTGAGCTTCTTATTCAGATTTACAAAAGCATCCATATAATTTCAGATGTTTTGTGTTCACAAAATGAACCTTAAAAAACTGATTTTGAGTCCATGAGTTGGTGAATAGTAAGAGGAGAATTAATTGGTTTTTTGTTTGAAGCATCTGATGTCACTGATACAAAGCAAATATCACTTGAACATTTGCAAAATTCTTCTGCTACCAGTGGAGTTGACATACTAACAGCTACCCTTTACTATGTGCATAAAAAATGCAGAATTGAAAATGAGAAAAATTAATTTAGAAGGCAGAAATGTGATTTAAATGAAAAATCATGCTTTGCGTATTGATCCATAAAACTCCATTCACAATTGCCTGCAGTAAATATAATAGATGTTAGTGCTTTTTTAGTAGATTGATGCTTTTGCTTTTTGTGTGGTCAGTAAAAATACTACGGACCCCCTCATAACATAAATGTTGATGGCCATCTTGTGCAAGCCTGATATTCCTCACTGAATTTTTGGAAAGCATGAGATTGCAGTCCTTTTTTCATTAAGGATGCTCTTACATTGTTCAGGGGGTCATTGCTGCTGCTAAAGTTTATTATAAAATAAAAAGCATTACCAATTAATAGCTGAGGATTTTTACCATTTAACAAGTAGCAAAACGACCGGAAACTTTCAGACTACTCCTTCAGTGTTCTCTAGCAGGTTCCCAGCTTCTAGTTTCTGCACAGATTCTGCTCGCACCTAATCTCTGATTCCCTACATAACTCTGCTCAGTGAAGCTGCGACTCCACACAGATCATAGTACCCTAACATCGGCCGAGGGATTGATGACACTCATGCACCTGTCTGAGACTGGAAGGAATCAGCTGTCCCCAAGTGGCGTGTGTGCGCACACACTGCTCTGTTCACCTGCTGCCTTTGAAAGGGAAGAGTGCGTTATGCCGAGCCTGTAAAGGATTGGGGAGAAAAAGTTTCATTCCTCTTTCCCTTTTCCTATTAGGCTAACGTGCAAACTGCTCATTGTGCAGGAGTCTTGCAAGCGCCTAGTAGAGACCTTGGAAACACTAACTGGTGATCCACGAAATCCATACCAGCTATTTCAAGTCAACTATAACTAGTAATAATTACATGAAAAGCAAGAAATCTTAGATGGATACCAACAAAGGTAGGATGCTAGGATGAAAGGCATTAATGAAATTATTCTGGGCAGTCTGCGATGTGTGATCACACAGTCCTTATCTGCTTGGACTGAAGAAGTCTGAACTTTGAATAACAATGAAAATACTGACTAGCATCTTTGCCATAATGCTTTTAATCTGTGATTTACAGTGAGCGCAGTTTTGTCTTTTGCTTAAGAGTGTGCAGTCAGGGGCTGGGGATTTAGCTCAGCGGCATAAGCGCCTGCCTTGCAAGCAGGCAGTTGTGAGTTCGATCCCGGGTACCAATAAAAAGGAAAAAGATCAAAAAAAAAAGAAGAGTGTGCAGTCAGCTTCTAGGAAGCAAAAGTTTCTGGGAGGAAATTGAGCAAGGCTCCAAGACCTGTCTGTCCATCAGTGACCGCATTCCAGTGAGCAAGAAGGAATTCAAAGGCATCAAAATCCCTCTTGGGAGACTCAGGGGAGTGGACCCCCACTCATTTGACCTAGAGTAGAACCCAAGATCTGAAGAGTTAACCCTCACTCTAACCTCTCACGATGCTCTCACTTCCTCCCTCATTTTCTGGTTGCTGAGGAGGAGAACTGAGCTTAGATGTGTTTTATTTCTACATTTTTAATTACTTAGCCCCTACTGTACTCAAATTTAAAGAAGGTTTCATATCCTACTGTTGATACGGGATTGCAATATGTGGGAGTTATTTTTTAATGAGGTTCATTTTTTAACATTTCACAGGAAACTAGGAACTGAGCGACTGTTGTTCTTCAAAGTAAGACATTTGAAAACTTGGAAGGCTACACATTTACCCCAGTGAGGCTAATAAAATACAAATAATAGAAGCTAATAGGTACCACGGTTCCCTGCTTCGTTGCAATTTTACTTCCCATGGCTTCAGTTACTCATATTAAATATTAAATCAGAAATTCCAGAGTCAAACACCTCATCATTTTAAACTGCATGCCATTCTGAGAGTGCGACGCAATCTCAATGTTGGACCTTCCTGTCTGGATATGCTCGCATCATCCTGTTGCCCTAGGTAACCTGTGTTGTATACTCTATCTCCTCTTCATCACTGAGCTGTCTTGGCGATCACAGGGGTCTATTTGACACAGTACTGTCCCCAAAGCATAACAGTAGCAGTGCTGGCAATTTGGGTGTGGCAAGGGGAAGCCATAAAGTGCTTCTGTTTTGGTGAAAAGTAAAAGGTCTTGTCTTCATAAGGTTGCCAATTTTCCTGTTGCTGGAACAAAATGCCTAACACCTGTACCTTCACCAAGGCCTCTAGGTTCAGAGGTTTCGGTCCATGGTCATCTTGCTCCAAGGTAGAGACATCATAGCAGGAGGACGTGGTGGGAGAGAGCTACTCACTTCCTGGCCGCAGGAAGTCGAGGGCCTTAGAAAGAAAAAGAGAAGGGGCTGTGGGCCTAAGGCCGTGACCCACTTCCTCCAACGAGACCCCACCTTCTATGGCCATTCAACCACGAACCCACCAATGAGGACCATCCAAGTACCTCTCCAGAAGTCTTTATATCCAGGCAAGTTGACAGTTGATTGACATATTACAAAATTTTGGTATGGATGTTGCTAAGATTTACCGTAAGAATGGATCTTTTAGCCATGAAATTATGAAGGAGGACAAAGAAATTCATGCTGCTTTGGTTGTCACATCTCAAAGTGAAAAAGTTAGGACTACAGGTCATGGTTCATGCTTAACACAAAGCATTTCTAGATAAGCTGGAAAAGACACTGCGTTCCACACTATCTGCAGCTTCCAGCATCCGCTGCCGGGGTAGGGGGGGATCAGGCGGGGTAGGAGGAGACCTTAGGATGTATCCGTGAGGATAAGAGAGCAACTTCTGCATTAAGAACTTACCATGTACCACCGTCTGCATTGGGTTTGCTCTCCCAACAAACCTGTAAGTCTGGTACTGTTTTATCAATGCGGAAACAAAAGCCAGGAAGGAAGGTTAACGTTGAAATGTTCAAATGCATATACCAAAGTATTCTTCCTCCTCCTCCACCCTTCCCCTTCTTTCCCATCTGCTCCTTTTCCTTCTTTACACTGGGCCTTCCCCCAGGCCTTAGCACTGAGCTGAAAAGATCAGACTCAAACTTGCCATCCTCCTGCCGAAGGCTCTCAGAGTCCTGGGATCCAAGGTGCGCGCTATCACACTGGCTCCCAGTTCTCTTTGACTGTTAAGGGACTCTGCTGAGCTCATGCCTGGCCCTTTTGGTTCTAAATACCTTACTGATTATGCTGCTCCATCCTGCCTCCCAGTTCAGCTGGGAATGGAAAATATAGGGACAGGCACACGCAGGGTGGAAAGGACAAAACGCAAGCTTGAACACTGCAGGGCCAAGCCGTTGGACAGAGATAAAGAAACATCAGCGTACAGCATCTGGGGCCTTGGAGACATGTGTGGTGGCTGCCCATCACTTGGTGCAATATTCTGGCAAGAACCAGGGTTTGTGTTTCGTCTCCGAGGTGGCGCCTGTCTGCGGTTACACCACGGCTCATTGACCTGGGCACTGAGCAGTCTTTCTTGAGTCTGGGATGAAAAGAGCCATATGAATGGAACTTTCATTTACTCCCCAGCCCGCCTGCCCATCAAGCTTGAGGGCAGATGTGCAAATGCCTTCTCTGTTCCCAGGGGAGCCGGAGCCAGCAATAGCGTCCTTCGAGGAGAATGCCTTCTTCTCCGCTTGAGTTCCCGCTCTATCCTCTCCTGGGTCTATGTTTAGACGGTGATTTCCTGTGCTCTCCACCGAGATGGTTCAGAAATGCCTCCACTTCTCCCTGTTCTTCATTCTCTTTCTTCTTCAGAACACTGGCTCACAGACATGCTTAAGTATGGCCTACTTATTTATTTATTTTAAGCTTTAAATCTACCAAAGCCTATTGGTTGCCTTTTAAATAAAAGTTTGACAATCTTTTGTTCCCACAGTATTAGTATTTTTTTCTGGAGAAGACAGCAAATATACCAAAAGCTGAAAGTGTAGCTGAGACGTAGCTGCCTGACATGCATGAGGCTCTGATACCCGGGGGAAGGGGGCGGGGACAGACAAGAGAGAAAGAGATAGAGATAGAGACAGAGATGATAGAGATGTTAGAGATAGTCATAGAATGCCAAAGCATCTCAGCACAAGGCTAGTATATTTAGATCTATACAAATTCAATTGTCAAGTAAATATTGCATCAAAACTTCAGTTTAGTTAAAGCTAAAATTTGATAATTTAAGCCAGTTACAGTAAACTAAGTTATATTAATTTATTTTTCTATAAAGGTTCAAAAGAGGAACCTTTTAAAGGGACAATGAAGTATCAAGGGAATACATTTCCTGATCTGGAAAATGCAGAGGCGGGCATGTGTAATACTGTACAAGGAAATAGCCTTGGACAAGTAGTTGGGATATTCAATTTGAATTAAAATAAGGAGCAAATAGAAAATATTAGAACCGGGTGTGACAGAAATTACCTCTTGCCCATGAAAGGCAGAGCCCCCAGCACAAGGTCCTGTGTATGTATATGTGTGTACATACATGTAAGTGCGTGCATGCAAATATAAGTGTTGGTAAATTGCCAGAGGCATAATTTCTGGTGCTACATTAGAGTGACTGCCCCTGCCACACCTCACATTTGGGAGAAATTTGCAACTTGCAAACATAGCTGGAATGGGTCAATATTAATCTCCTGGGAGAGAGCTATTGTGATGTTCACCTCAATAGGTTGTGTGCCTTGAGTACTTTCTATTAGCTGATATTTTACAAGCACCAGTTCATCCAGTCCTTAGTAATCTTGTAAGGAAGGTGTTGTTACCTTCTTTTCTCAAGTTGGAAAACTGAGCATAGTGATGTTCAGTGATTTACCAAAGTAACTTAGCTAGGAAAGTGGTGAAGTAGGATTTCACAAGACATTTTGTGAGATTCTGGGCAAAGGCAGAGTATTTCTGGGCTCTGGGGTCCAATTAGTAATAATAATATAGGTGGAATGCTCATCCCAGCCTAATGGTTGGATGCCATCAGCACCATCAGACAGGTAAGGTTGGTGAGAAATAGAGAGAAGTCCAACTTTACACTAGCTGGTCAATGATTACTCTGGGGTGGGACCATTATTTTGCGTCCTGAAATCACAACTTACACTACTACACGGTACACATCCCCTTGCCAGTGATTAAGATTCCTTCTATTGCACTAATCTGAGACTTCCCTGCCATCAGCAGGACACAAAATCTATGTCATAGATTTCCATTCTTTTTTTTAGAGCAGAATATATTTACTGAGAGAAAGAAAGCTTCTTCTGTCTGAAAGAGAGACACAAGGGGTCCTGAGTGGGTTGCCGAAGACTCTGTTTCCATTCTTATAATGGCCATTTTACCATCAGCAGCAGGGTATCTCCTTTGAGCTGTTCTTCAGCTGCACGCACTGAAAGAAAGAGCTGGGGTGAGACATCATAAGGCAGAGATAAGAACAGGCAGCCCGGTCTATCTGTGTTATAGGACATGTGAGATATACAAATGAATTAGACACAAATATAACAACCAAGGACTGGACCATTATGAGCAAGGGAGAGAGACTTGGGAAACAGGAATTTAAACTCTCATGTAGATATACAAAGTGCCCTTCCATTTAGAAAAAATATGTTTGCCAATCAATGTGTCAGGACTCTTTGGGTTCTAAGTAACAGAAACTCAACTCAAAAAAGTTTAAATGTGAAAAGGAAATTTCTCAGCTCATCCAACAAACAAGCAAGTAGTGTTACCAATTCTAAGTTCAGTCCTGTCGGGAGGCATAAATGATGTCTTGTTTTCTCTGCCTTTCCTGTGTCCATTTTGCTTCACACTTGCTGTGGCTCGAATCTCTCCTGCTCTAGACAAGCTACCTCCATGGCCAGGTAAGATGGCCCAGCGTAACAACTGCAGTAGAAAACACACCTCTCTTCAAGGGTATCCATTTCCCAAAGACACTCTTTTTGCCCTTGCTTGGATCAGGTGCTCATTCTGGGCCAATCAACGTATCCAGAGGAAGTAATCCTACAATTGGCCAAGCCTGGGTCATGTGTCTAGCCCCGACCAATCAGGGTGTATATTCTCCAGACCAAACACTGTGTCCAGAGAAAGTGGTCCTGTGACTGGCTAAGCCTGGGCCATGTGTCAATCCCTGACCAATCACAGCATTCATCTTGAGTTATCCACTCATCTCTTTGGAGGACAAAGTCCAGAACTCACAGAAGAGTCAGACCAAAAAAATAAAGGAGGGATATTCCCTCAAAGAAAAACATGCTGAGAAGACCCAAGCAATGTGACCACCACACATGGTGTTCTCCAGTTTCAGAAATGTATTAAGGAAATTATTTATGGCACAGCTACTTGTACAAGAAAAAAAGTCAATTCAGAAGAAACACATTTGGAGAAAAGTTTGTAAATGCTCTGAAGTAGCATTATGGAAAGTGTATTCATTTAAGTCTTAGACTGCAAGGTAAACAAACATCTTTAAGATTGTTGGAAAATTTTAAATGAATCCTAAAAGGTAAAAATAAAAGCTTGTCTTTACAAGTAAACAAAGTACAGGCAAGATGGAAAAGCCAGAATTCTCTCCCTGGCTCTTGAGTGGCATAGTTGGGTTGGGTAAGTCTCCAGGACCTACCTACCCTGTGGGCTTCTCCTCCAAGCCTCAGCCCTCCATAAGACCACACAGGCACGGGCGGGACCCACCTGTGCCTCTGGGGCTACATTAAAGATTTTCGCTTTTAGGGCTTCCCTCTGCCTTTCACCAGCATTCAACTCACATCTTTTTATCACCATTTTCCAAAAAAGGGAAGGGACTCTCCTCCTCGACAAAGCAAATAGAAAGCAAGCATCGCATTCCTAGGAGGGCCCTCCCTGACCAAAGTTTGTGCTCATGTCATTACTAAATATTCCCACTTCAAGTGGCTGTGCATCGCTGCTTAATGACTACTCTATTTCAGCAGCTGGCCCTCCATAAATCCTTCTGGGCGTTCTATTCTAAACAGGCCCCTTCTCACGCAACGGCAGCCTCTTTCCAGCCATGTGAAAGCTAGTCAGCTCCTGTGGGTGCTCCGACGTGCCCAGTCTGGTCTGAGCATTTACCATATCACAGCCAGTGGACAGGAGAACTGCCTGCAGCCCAGGGCTTAGATATTATCAGGTCCCTCTGACCAAGGAAAGCATCCTCCGAGGAGGGTGGTAATGAGACATTTATGGAGCCGAGACAAGCCCTAGGCAAAGCTGTGCAAAAGGTGTGGCCCGAGACATTTCTGAGGTATTAATATGTCTCCTTTTCTGTGTTTTTCCTTCCTCCACCCTCTTTGTAAGGAAGTAGGTGGATCTTTTGTAACTGTTCACCTCAAGGATTTTTGTTCCACTAAAACTCCAGGTGTATATGTGTGTGTCTGGAGGAAAAAGATTCTATCATTTGACAGGTTTTGCTGGAGATTCTTTTTTTTTTTTTTTTTTTTTTTTTTTTTTTTTTTTTTTTAATTTTTATTTAAGGAGAAAAGAAAAGAAAAAAAAAACAGTGAAGGGTACAAGTTATACAGATTTACAGAAGAAAAAAAATGCGCAGTAGGAAATCACTAGTTAATAGATTACATATTGCCATCTTAGAAATAATTGTTCAAGTCACAGAATTAAAGTTTGTAGAGTGGACATTCCAGCAATGATACTGCAAACAGTTCTGTTCAATGATCCATTAGAACTCTGTGATATCATTTTCTGTCTTATACATTTAAATATACATGCAGTTATATAGTTTAGAGCATTTTCTTTTCCTCTCTTTTGTACAGTGACTATTACACATTTTGGGTTTCATTGCTCCCACTGTTCTTATTGCTTTTTTGGAAGAGAGTAAAACCAAATGTGACATGACAGAACAGAATCGGTCAAGTCAAAAGGGTGGATATAATAGATAATATAAAAACATAATACAAGGTGATCAACAATGGTTACCCTAATGCCTCCCGCTATTTCTAATAGAATTGCCTATATCGTTAGTTGTAATACTATTGAACAAAACCGTAAAGGATAAAATCGACAAAACCAAAACATTGGAGATATTGTAGGTCTTCAAAAGTAGATAGAAGTCAATGAGAATGGGCGTTATAATGAATCTCATTATCTTCTCAGCTGATGCCTAAACTTTCGAACCTGATACTATTCAGCAAAACAGAATAGAGGAACCTCAGTCAAAAACAAGATGGTGAGAGTAATACAGGGCTTCAAATCGAGAAAATAGAAAGTCAAAGTGGGTTACTATATTATATCCTGCTATATTTTTCCCTTTAATTAAATGGATAACAATAAAAAAGTATATAATGGAGTGGAGATTGAGAAAAAGAAAAAGAGGGCATAACAGCGAAACAGGGCAGATCAAAACATAACCTTTTAAGCAGAATAGTGTTTCACCACCAGATATTTCCGACTTAAAAATAGTTACCATATTGACTCCCTCCCTGAAGTCCTTGAGTACAACTTCATATACTGTAGCATTAAGTATATCAAAACAATGTAAAACCATTTAAGAGAATGACAGCATTATAGAGTATTTGGAATTGACTAACAGAAAATGAACAATGGTCTCTGTATAATCTCCTTGTCTTTAAAAGGTTTTTGCTTATACTAACGTACATAACAAAATCCAATAAGATACAACCTGGTTAGACCATTGGAGACAGAAGAACAAAAGCTAGATGAGACTTCAAAACAAGATGGTACTGAATCAGCATTACCTATTAAGATGTCATTTTCTCAAAAATAGCTGTTCCTATCATCCAATCTTCTCTGTCTCATTTCTGTTGAGCTCTTTTTCTGTCAGTAGCTGTCAGTTTGTCTTCTTCATTTTGTTCTCTGCTCCATTCGTTGTGGCCTCCCTGCCACTATTTCTGGGTTCTTTGTATTTTTCTTTTTTTAGAATATC